TCTTTCTCTGTTACAGTTGTGACGATGAGGTTGGGAAGTGGGAGCCGTATACGAATACGTTAGCTATCTCAGGAACACGAACAAACAATTACTTCTATATCCACGAATAATAATTGATGTCAAAATCATTCATATATAGAGTGTCTTTGTCTCTCATTTCATCTCTCTCTCTCTCTCTCTCTCTCTCTCTCTCTCTCTCTCTCTCTCTCTCTACAGATAAGCGAATCTCGCTCAATCCCTTGCCATTTTCTCTGGTGGAGCATACATGATGATGGGTTATGCTGAAACGTTTGGCGCCCTCAGGAACACGAACAAACAATTACTTGTATGTCCACGAATAATAACTAGCGAGTCTCGCTCTATTTTCCTTCATGTGACAATGGGGCACTTCCTGTCACATAGTTATGTATTGGGGTCATATAATCACATCAATGCACCATTGTCGTAACAATGTGGCACCCAGTACCCAACTTTTTCTACCCCACCCACGCTAACTTGTTTTCTTTGCACTAAAGCATGTTATACGTGAAGTTCTATTTTTCGCTGCTCTCTCTCTCTCTCTCTCTCTCTCTCTCTCTCTCTCTCTCTCTCTCTCTCTCTCTCTCTCTCTCTCTCTCCACAGTTAAGCGAGGCTTGCTTTGTTTCCCTTTCCCAATTGCAGGTCACTTCCAGTCACATGCTTCTGTACAAGGGGTCATATAATGACATTAAGGCACCGTTGTCATAAGAAGTGGCACCCACCATGCAACTCTGCCTACCCCAGCCACAGTAACTCAATTTCTCGCACGAGACCCGAGCTAAAACTTTTATGTCCACACTTCAAAACTCTCTCTCTCTCTCTCTCTCTCTCTCTCTCTCTCTCTCTCTCTCTTTCTCTCTCTCTCTCTCAATAGACGTGTCGTTGTGATACGAGTTGCAGACACGCAATCCCACCAGATCTTGAGTCATGTCTTATCCGTCAGAATAACAAAAGTGTCAGTCAAGGAAATATTTTCAAGGTTCTGCGCATGAAGCCTGTGGTTGCGTCTACGGGGCTAAGACTTCGAATTCAAAGTCATGTACTGTGTTGCCCTTGTCGTTTACTGCATTTTTTCCTCTCTTTTTGTTGTCTGCATTGTAGTACTGTGTTGCCATATCTGCCACACGTGTGTCGCGGTCGAGCTTAAAAATGCAGAAAATCATAATTGTCTCTCCGTTCCGGGCTGTATTAACTGTATCGTTCTTAATAGCGGTCATTTTCAGCAACTGATCTGACGCCTTGCTTGACTTCTTTGTCTGTTCTGTTTCTGTGCGAATCACGAGTTCGGTGAACGCTATTTGTTGCAAGGTCACGCCAAGCTTTCCGTCATCCCTTCTTGTTTGAAAGACTTTTGTGAGTGCCCTCTTAAAATGTTCTGCTCCCTATGGCTCGTCACCCTTCCTTCTTTATGTCTTGTCTTTATTCACTTGGCTACAAATATCGTTTCGCGCGGCGTTATTGTGATCCGACTGCGTACCACGTACGAGCGGGAGACCTCTCTCTGCCCAAAACCAGTGTCTCAATTGTCAAGTCAACTCTCCACGGACCGTTGTCATCATTCGGTTCTACTCTATAAGCACACACCACACACCATTATCCTCTACATACTTCCCGAATCCTACCCTCACATCTTCTCCTAAAAGGTTAGCAGCCAACTGCAACGCATTGAAGAAGTCGTCCTCTGAAGGGTAGAATGTTGCGTCCCTCGCTGTCGAGTGCACAAAAGTTTTAGCAACGGACCTCAACAGTCTGTTTTTTTGTTTTTTTTCGAATAAGTCGCATTCGTCTCGCATGCCACCCACCTAATGATTCACCTTTTTCGTCTCCTTTTGACGATTTCTCCCTCATAAAATCTGACGGTCTGCAACAACGCGTATAACAACCACAAGTTGGAAGTTGGTATCCGCCACTCACATGCATTCGTTTGGCAGGAGAAACAACCACAACCGCACAAACATATTCAAGGCTATCTCATATTTCGTTATCGAAAAACTAGTTAGCAATTCGCTACCATTTTGCACTACCGGCAGGTCATGACAACAGTTGATGCAAATCAACAATGATGTCTTGCTTCTTTCATTTGTCTTTTGCTGGAATTTCCCCTTTTCTTTCCGGACTACAGTGCTTTGGTTCATCCTCGCTGATGGGTATCTTTCCTGTCGGTGCTTTAGGGACGATGAAAGATCTTCATATCTGCGGAGATGTGTCATTGCAAAGCTACATGACACACACAACGTTTCATTTACAAGCGAAATACTCAAAAGCTCTGTAATGTATACAGAATGTTTAAATGCGAATTATCCCGAACATTGCTGAAGAGAGAGAGAGAGAGAG